TACAATGACTCTTTTGCCCTCGGGGCTACACTCATGACTCAGCTTATACTAGGGGTACAATAGGAAATAAAAAGAAAAATGCATAAAAGAAATACATAAATAGCTAGAAATATAAACTCTAAATCACGGCCGTCGATCTGCGCTGTCTACGGCGATACACATGTCTGAACCTCTGGTCGATGTCCCCATCAAAGACTTTATGGTAAATTTTTCGCCATCAAAATTCCACAGGGTCCATCCTTAATAGAATTAAGAAAGATGTTCTAAAACACTCAACTGCTCAAAGAATCACCCATCTCTTTGTGATTGTGAACTTAGATAAACTCTCATGCATCTCTGATGTGAAACTACCAGGAGTTAATGAGAAATTAAGAAGAACTATTGTTGAAAATTTTCCAATATAAATTTATCATTCACAACTGATGTAGGCAAACTAGAAAGAAAAGTCAAGATAGGAGAACACTAGGACAACTAGAACAAAACTCGATTCAATCTAGAATGCAGACATCCAAACAAACACCAAACACAAACCAAAGCCGAACAAACGAAAACAAAATTTAAAAATAAAAACACTATCTTCAGAACAACCAGCAAGCGGTTTCCTCACATGCAACTAAAAGTAGGAAAAATAAGATAAGTGTTTAGGGGCTTGCAAACCAAAGGTCCACCACAGCAACCAGGTCCAACGCCCAACAAAGCTCCTCTGGCAAATGTCTCCAAATCAACCAACAAACACCTCAAATAGCTCAAGAAGAATGATACAAGTGGAGTGAAACTTGCGTAGAGAAGAAGAGATTAGAAGCCCAAGACGAAATAGAGAGGAAGAGAGAAATGGAACAAGCTCTCAAGCTTTTCCAAGGTAGAAGAAACCCTTAGGTTTTGTAGAGACTTTGCTCAAATATTCAACAGCCTTTTTATGTCAAAAACATCTCTAATTTATAAGAGAAAAGGGGCAGCCAAACAACCATATCACCTTCAACAGAACCAATAGAAAGCCTGCAGTTAATCCACAAAACAGCAATCGAAAAGTCACAGGAAATTCCAGAAACAACACCCGAACAGTCACAGGAGAACCGAGAAAAACAACCACGGGAAAGGAAAAGCAGTCCAGTGAATCAGGACAAAGCCAGGGGAAGCGGAACAGCTCACGGGAAGGAGAGCCAGAGGGGAAAAATCGAAGAGATAGAGAAAGGAAAGAGGCAATAATTTCACTCCACTAATGAGCTAACCAGTGAAAGACTTTACATAATAATGAGCTAAAGTCACAGCTCAAGCAATAATGAGCTAGAATCAAGTAGCTCCCAAAAATTCAGCTCAAAACCAAAGCAGCCAAGGCCCAACCCGAGAAGCAGCAGCAGCCCAAAAGACCAAAGAACCCAAGAAACTAGCACCCCCAAGGTTTGTCATGCCCAAGCACTTCCTACTCATGATAATTGGATGTTCTCCATCATAGGATAGCATAAAAAAACTAAACAAACATTATAATATTCAAATTACAATAAAATGAAAATAAATTGAAATAATGCATGCATCAACAACAAAGAAAGATTTTATGATTTCATAGTTTTCAACTTGCTTAGGCAAAGAAATGCACTTTAGATTAACCAAGACATTTCGATCAAACATCAAAGACAAGAGTAAGTTTTATGACCGCAATAACAAAAATCCGCAATTTAATAATGAGAGGTTTCACCTTGATGACCTCCTCACTCAATCACTCGTAGGGTTAGCGGAAGATGTAGATGATGTGAAACTTGATGACCTCCTCACTCAATCACTCGTGGGGTTAGCGGAAGAAGATGATCCACACTAGTGAAGAGTTCACCACTAGGAAGGAGCCGAAGAACTAGCCCAAGAACTTCTTTGTTGGAAAGGTAGCCGACGACGGATGGATTGGGTGACGTCCTACGATCGTCCTCGATCCGGTTGGGAGGTGTTCCTCAATTGATGTTGCCACCTTGAAGATTATGTGTTCAATGTAGCTTTCTACGGAGTCGTCGACGTCCAAGTTGAAATCGACCAATGGGGATTGGAGAATGCCGGTTCGGCTCAGAGAATCCTCTACAAACCCATGATCAACATCCGGGTCGGTCATGCGTGATTTTCTAAGATAAAAAATAGATAGTGAGAGGAGGGGTCGGGTAGGCTCGGCCAAGCAAAGGGGAAGAAGGGAAAAAAGGCTAAATCTAAAAATAATTTCAGATCTAATGAGTAATTAGGGATTAATTTCTTTGAAATTTGAATTAATTAGAAACAAGTGGGAATTAGAAGGGAAAGTGAGGAGGGGATTGAATTAATTAGATCCTTAATTTATGGGATCTAATTAATAAAAGGGGGAGGGGGGCTAAGATGGCCGGCCAAGGAGAGAGGGAGGAAGGGATTTGGGTATTTATGAGGTGGGTCCACGCAATTAAGGGGATTGATGATTTAAATCTGAAATTGATTTCAGATTTAAATTAATTGGGAATGTTTCCTATATTAGAGGAGGATCATTTAAGAGAAAAATTTGAAATTCAAATAATTGAATTTGAATTTAAATCAACTCCTAAATTAATTGGACCAAATTAGGAAACATTTTATGGTGGATTTGAATTCAAATTTGGAGGGGGAAAACGTATGGGGCCGGCGGTTGTAGCAGGGAAGAGGGTCGGCGGGTGGGAGAGGAAGGGGCGGGGTTTGGACGCTTCATGCCTGCGGCCAAGGGCTTGGGCTTGGTAAATTAGATCCACGAATTGAGCACTTTTCTAATATGGATTATGTCAATTTAGGAAAAAATTCAAAATCTGAATTTGAAAATAGAATTTGGATTGGAGTTCCCTTCTAATCTTCATGCTCCACTTTTGTAAAGAGGCAAGACAATCAATTTGGGATCCATGGGAGGGGGAGGCCGACGGTTAGGGTTTGGTGTTTGGGTGGCATTTGGCTAAGGAGGAAGGGGTGTGGGTTAAGTGGAAGGGATCTTGTTGAGGTTGATCGGCGGCTTGAGGACTTGAAGTGGCTGGCGGTTGTTTGGGGAAGAAGAGGTGGCCGGATGTTGGGAAAAGGAAGACACGATAAGAAAAATACTACGAGTACTAACCGCGAGTCCCGAAATCCACCAACGGCTGACAGGTGTTGCAAGGCTCTCTCCTAGGGTTTCTCCTCTCAAGAACTCACAAAGAGATCAAGCAAGAAAATCTGAAAAATTTCATTCATAATCATCATTGACCTCATAAGAGGGAAAAGAAGGTTATAAATAGGCCCCATACAAGAACAAAACAAAAGACCAAATTACCCTTTGGGGTTACATGCATCTAGTCCCTCAAGTGAGGGTAAAAACAGAAAAGATCACTAAAAGAATAAAATTACAATACATCAATCAGAAATAAAAGATGCAAGCTTAATCGTAGATCTTCGATGTCTCCTCGCGCTAGAATATCCTGTAGATGTCCTCATCAATCTCTCTGCTAGCTAATTGCAAGTCCTTTGTTGAACCATTTTCTCGGCCTCACATTCGAAATGATCCATGACCCTCACATAAGAAATCGGCTCGTACTCTATGCCTCCATAGAAAATTGATCCTAGCCTTCCCTTCACATTAATTGCCATACATTAGTGAAGTGATAGGCCTCTGTCAGTCTCATGCTCTAAAAAGGGGCAATTCCTTGATGTCACTAGGTGAATTAGATAGGCTTCTTTGTCATCTGGTAAGTTTATGATGTGGACATCTCTTATTCATCTAGAAATGACTAACCTTACACTTCCACACGTAACTAGGTAAATTAGATAGCATTTCTGACAGTCAGGATGTTAGTCTAGTCTTCTTCTTCTTTATCACATTGAGAAGATAGTTCGTCTGGCAAACAGGTTTCATTTTCTGATCCATTTCTAAAATCTGGTTGAGTTTGGGTTGACTCAGAAACCTGAAATCTACCCGAGTCACCCTTGGCCTGCTGCGATCCTGCGCTCAAGCCCGCACACAACTCTCGCCATCTTGTGCTTGTGCCTGCACTCCATAGCGAGCCCTCCCGAGCTTGCATCTGGACCCGCACAGCACCCGTGCAGGGAACCGCACCCGCGTAGGCCGCGCTCGCCCTCACGAGCTCAACTCCTCGCCTGCAAGCTCGCATGCTCGCGCCCCCTTTTCCGGCATGCGGTGGGGCGCCCAAACTTGCTTTATCCTAGCTTTATGCTTAAGTGGACACCTCATTTTAAGTGTTTTGTGAAACTTCTTAGTCATTTCGATTTGTGATATTTTCTCTCATCTTTGGATTCACTATTTCAACTAATCTATTTTTTAATCTTTTGCCTCAATTTTTACTGAACTACTTAGGTGGATGCCACTGCTGACAAACCATCCGGGCAGTTAGTGTCTAGGCTTCTAGTTGAATTAGTTTTTTCTTCCCCTCTTAATAAAGAAATTTGGATTGGCTCCACATCTAATTGCTATAGGCAGAAGGTTGAGTTTGAAGACATTTCTCCTTATTTTTCTTCTTGCAAAATATTAGGTCATAACTACTCAGAATGCTTAAAGACGTACCTGTAGCTATGAAAATCTCTTGGTAAGCATGGCAATGAGGATATTTCATCGGATGAAAACTCTTATCTTTTAATGCAATGGTGGCAATTTTATTTACTTCTTGTCAGGTTTATTCTCAAAACTTGGAATTTACTTTGTATCTTAATTTGGAATCTACTAGACCAGTCCACGGACCGACGGGACCGGTTTATGCGAACAGAGGCGGACATTTCCGCCTCGTGTACGCACCGAACGCACGCTCAGGCGTGCGTGGGCTGTTTTGGAAGGAATTTTGAGGGAGTTATGAGGGAAATTTGAATGTAGAGTATGCATTAATAGTTTGTTTTCCTAGGGTTAGAGCATCTTGAATTTGGCTGAAATTTGAGATCTCATATATTTTCTTTGGGCTCTAGCGGCTTCTAGAGATTGGGAGAGATCGATCCTCTTCTTGAATAGAGGATCAAATGTATATTGTTATTTTCTTTTGTAGTTTGTTTTGTGCTAGTTTTCCATTGGAATCGTGGAGATTTCTTGCTATTTTTGCTCTTTTGATAGGATTTACTTGAAATCTTCAGTTGTTTCCTATCAAATTGGTATCAAAGCATGCCGATCTATGGGATATCAATTGATGGAAGGAAGGTTGAAGTCTTGGAGAGAAAACTTGGACAACTCAAATCAGATTTTGAGGAAAAGATTTCTGATTTTCAAAATCTGATTGCATCCGTTAATGAAATGATGAAGGAAAGTTCACCATGGTGGAAGACAGGTTGAAGAAATTACTTGAAGCCAAACCTAATCCAGCGAAATCTGAAGCAAAGGAAACCATCGGCGGCCATGGGAGAGGTGGAAACCCTAACCCGTTTAGGGGAAGTGAAAATTCGGTAGTAGAGATCCTGGAGGGAGAAGATGAGATGCCTCCGCTAGAGTTGTTTTCTAGGGAGGAGAGAAGCGTTGGCAAACAAAGAGGTGTTGATTTTGCAAGGGGAAGGGAGGAATTACAGGAGAAGAGGGCGAAGGGATGTGTTTCAGATGTGACGACAGGTATACGCTGGGGTACTGGTGTAAGGACCGAACTCTTCAGGTTCTTACCGTTTGTGATGAAGAAGGAATGGAGGAGAATGTCGTCTTTCCACCTTACTGACAAGGTGGATTTTTGGGAGGGGAGTATTGTTAGACCGGTCCGACCGGACCAGCTTGCGCGAACAGAGGCGGACATTTCTGCCTCTAAAATTACTGTTTTTCAATTGTTTTCTATTGGAATCATGGAGATTTCTCGCTGTTTTTCCTCTCTTGATAGGATTTACTTGAAATCTTCAAGTGTTTCCTATCAGTATCATTGCCATCACGGGTTGCTAGCCTCAATTCTTATTCACATGATTAGTGATGGAGCCCCTTCTAGAGTTTTTGCTCTCAATGATCCTCTTGATGCTGAGAATATGGATGATTCACTCTCTTTCTGCTGCCTCTGTTTTTGGCATTTCTAACACAGAAAAAATGCTTTAAATCTTACATTTTATGATGAGAAGAAATAGCATAAAAGTATACCGTCAGTCTGTAAAATTTACTAGGCTCCAAATTAATGGTTTTAATGATGGCAATGGGGGTTTCTCTGTTTTGGCGATTGGTTCACCTATTAGCCTTGTTGATGTATTATATTTTTAGTTCTTCTTTTCATCTAGCAATACTTAGCTATTGCTTCGTGTCATACTCTTATTAAATATTTTTCTTGAAATAAAAAACGGCTAATCACTTGATCATGGGGCACATGCCAAAGCCAAAGAACATGACTCGACTCTGAAACAAATGACACCCAAGTTCTACTATATCAAACTTCATGAAACAATTCATAAAATAAATACAAAGAGAATGAGATATGACTTTGGTATGTTATGGTTAGTGAAATTTTTAAGTTGCTCTGGATGGCTGCCATCGGGTTTTGAAGTTCATTGAAGATTCAACAAGCAGAGGAAAGTACAACATCTAGGCTTTGTTTTATCAGCAATCACAAGTAGTAAGTTAATGCAATAGAAATTTGTTCTTATTAATAAGTATTATTTGTGTTGTAAATTTTCTCTGTTATTTTATGGCAGTTATGATTAGTTTGAAATTTTTATTTTTTCGAGGGTAGTTTATAATTTTTTAATACAGCCTGTTTGTATAAATAGGGCATAGTTTGAAATATTATTATTAGAGTTGAAATGGAATTGAAAAAAAGATTTCTTTTAGCCATCTCCCTCTCTCCCCCTCCCCCTCCCTCCAGGAATTCACTCACTTCTAGGGTTTCTCCTTACTATTCTTCTCGCTACCTTGTGCCTCCTTGAGTTCACTCATTTTTTCTCTTCAATTCTCTTTTCTCTCTTGCTCTTTGATTAACTTTCTATGCCGGATTCGCCTACTTTGTTTCTTTCTGTTATTTCTTCAATCCTCTTTTCTCTCTAGCTCTCCAGTTCTTTTACAACTCTGAATTTTTCTTTGCTGCTGCCCTACTACATGTCACTGGGTGCCTTTAATCTTTTCTAGGAAAATGTTTGAACTTTACTGGACTGCAGAATTAGTTTGAGGTGGAGAATTGTTATGCTTAGATCACATATATATATAACAAGCATTGCTTTTCAGTTAGTTATGTGACGGACAATTGATTTGGGTTCAATATTCATCTTCGAATATCTTGAACTACAATTAATTGCTTGCAAAATTGTAAAAACCTAAAAGAAGTAAAATTTGAGCACAGTAAAATTTCTGGTGAATTTGTATGCTTTTGCGCTTAAAAATAAAATGCCAAGCTTTGCTTCATTTGAATGTGCATCTTGTTGGTGCGATGCATTTTAAATGGTATGAATTCCAAAGTAGAACATTTTATCTTGATGGTTAAATTTTTTTCTTGAAAGAAAAAAAACTTTTAATATTTGTTTGCTGTGTCAAGGAAAAACTTTTTTTTTTCCAAGGCAAAACATGACGCCAGAAGTCATCATGATATAGGAACTTCATGTTTTTATTTATTTATATCATTTGAGTAAATGCTAATATTTTCACCTTACAATTAGGAAACAGTGAAAAAGGAGTATGATAATTTCAAGTTTCGACAACCATATCAGCAAGCCATGTATAACTGCTCATTGATACTAGATGAAAATGCCTGGCCATGGAATGAGGAACTTGAAGTCCTGCCCCATCTTGAAGTTGCGCATCTTGCAAATTTCTCCAGGCATTTTCTCTCAAGAACCTTTTTGGAGTGTTTTGTTGCAGGTCAGATTCACCAATCATCAACTTTTTTCCATGAACTTTGGAAGAATGTTTATATCTTAAACGTTTTGTTGTTTGTTTAGGAAACATTGAGACAGCTAATGCAGAAGTAATGGTCCAACATATTGAAGATGTTCTATTTCAACATCCCCAACCTATATGCAAACCTTTATTTCCTTCACAGCATTTAACAAGTAGAATTGTTAAGCTTGAAAGGAGCACTAAGTATTGTTTCTCAATTGACTGCTTAAATCCAAGTGATGAGAATTCTGCTCTCTTGTATTATATTCAGGTAATTTAGGCTTTTTTTCAGCTTCTTAAAACAGCTTTTTACTACAAAATTAAAAAATTATGTAATAAAAAGCTGCTTTAAGAAGCAAAAAGAAAGCCGTCCCAAACCAAGCCTTAGTGTTCACCTTCGCCATGACATTGTACTCATTAAGTTAATGAAAATCTGGTGATGTATGGATTCAGGTTCATCGAGATGATATAAAGTTAAACATCTTGCTGGAATTGTTTGCTCTTGTTGCCAAGCAACCAGCATTCCATCAGCTTCGTTCAGTTGAACAACTTGGCTACATAACTGTGCTTCTGCAGAGGTATAAAGATTTTTTTTGTTGATTTATCCAATTTTTACATGAATTTGAGCTCCAATTCTTCTATTACTCAACATGCAGGAATGATTCAGGAATCCGAGGACTGCAGTTTATTATTCAGTCCACTGTGAAGGTACAGCAACTTGGCCATCTCTGGAAGGTTTTGCTATCCTTTTATGACGCATAACAGAATTCTTATTGTTTTCTTTTTTCCTTGCAGGATCCTGCACAGCTAGATTCTAGAGTCGAAGCTTTTCTTAAAATGTTTGAAAGTGAACTCAACAAAATGGCTGACAGTGATTTTAAGGTTTATATCCACTTTAGTCTGAAATCTGTTCTCTGGAGTTTATTGTCATTATCTACAACTTATATTTTCTCGTTCTTTAGCCTTTATCAAAGAACTCTAGATCTTTGTGTGAACAAAATTTCAGTATTTACAAAATCTCACGATACCCATAAATTTGAGAACTCAAACTAGAATACCTTTATTAACAACTTCACATATTATTGTTCTAATGGACAAACATATCTTCTTTTAACAAATTGGCAATTAATCTGCAGAGCAATGTCAACGCACTAATTAAAATGAAACTTGAGAAACATAAGAATCTGTGGGAGGAATCATCGTTCTATTGGAAAGAGATTGCTGTTGGTACTCTTAAATTTGACAGAAGAGAGGCTGAGGTAATTTTACCACCAATTTTATTGTTTATTGCCCATTTCACTTCTTTTTTTTCCACCTACAAAGGAAAGAGTTTTGTATACCTTATAAGGCCTCGTTTGTTTGGCCGTAATTTCTACGTCTCCAGTTTGAATCGGCGAAAAAATTATTGTTTTGTTGTTTGTTAAGACAGCTTTTTCAAAATACCTTCTCCCGAACCTCCGTATTTCCGCCAATCTCCGCCAATCTGAGAACAAAAAAACTTTCTCCGTTTCCCATTTTAAAAAAGCCGGGGAACCAAACGAGGCCTAAATCTCGTAATCCATCTAAAGTGATTTTGGAAATTGCAGGTAGCCGCGTTGAGAAATCTGACCAAGGAGCAATTGATTGATTTCTTCAATGGCTTTGTTAAAGCTGATGCTCCGAAAAGGAAAACCCTTAGCGTACGAGTCTATGGATGTTTGCATTCTGCCGAGTACAAGCAAGCAATAACTGAGCCAGATCATCCTCCCAAAACAGTTGGAATAAAGGATGTTTGCAGCTTCAGAAGATCAAGGCCTCTTTTTGCATCCTTCAGGGGTGGCCATGGCCTTATCAAACTGTAGATTCTTTGGTGCAGAAGCTCATTACTTTGCCATAGTAATTCCCCAAATGTTTGAAATTCTTCTTGTTTTCATTGCTTCTCTAAATATGATTTTTTTTTTTTTTTTTTTTGGGGACGAAT